ATTCACAGGCAATTCACTCCTGACATTATTTTGATGACTTGCAAATGGAAAACCTATTTAAAGAGGATTTGACCCGACGACCTGTGTCAAGGAACATGTCTTTTCAATATTGCCTTTAAAACTGCAAATGAATGATGGCTGGGAAAGTGGAAAAGGTGTCCAAATACGAAACTTTAAAGCTTTTGGAAAAGTGCCGGAAGGAAAGAGACGATGCTTTGCACCGCGAGAATATGATGAGGGAGAAAATGAGACACTATGAGTCTCGAATGAGATCAACCGAAGCGCTTAAACAGAAATTAAAGCAACTGACTTTGGACAACAAGGAGCTGCGGAAACAAGTGAAGGTCCTGCGGGCTGAAATTGGTTTAGAGGCCAGTCCTAAATTTTACGGGAAAACCACCAAGGATATAATCAACGACCTGCACGAGAAGGAGCGCGAGTGCAATTCACTTGTTGAAAAAGCGGGTAAATTAAGTTTGACGATTGATGAAATAACATCTGAACTGGCCAACACCGTGACCTCGAAGACTCTGCTGGAGGACCAGGTCCAGTCCCTGCAACAGAACCTGAAGGACATGACCAACAACCAGCGGCGTCTTCTGAAGCTCTGGGAGGACAAGAAGGCTCAGCGGGAGCAGCTGTCACTGCCCGCCATACCGCAGAGACCCGGGCAAAAGCCGCTGGTGCATAAAGGCGTCCAGACGGAGATGTCCATCAGTTCAAACCAGATATTGCCCACCAACGCATTTGAGACCAAGACCCGCCGAGAGATCGATAAAAGCAGAACCAGTCTGGAAAGACGCAACATCACTTTAGCGAATGGCACTCATCGAGAGAAAAACACTTTCATTCAGAATGAAGCGAAAGGAATACACAACTGATGATTATTATTTCACGAAACATTTTTGTGTCTGTCTACGCGTCATTATGCTGCTCAATGCCTCAACGTACAGCATTCTTTTTTAAATATATAATTTTTAGTATGTTTAAAATTATTAAGCAACAACCTGATTGAAACAACCGAAACATTGAGGACTATATGTTACTGTACCATAATTATTTCTTATGTATCGATCTATTTTTACAGTCTTTTTAGACTGCTGTTTGATGTAATGCCCTCAAAACATTGTGTATAATGAAATGCTGTTTAACATTAAATATAAATGTAATTTATTCATTTTATTCAGATTTTTCCTTTTTAATTAGGATAATGTTGTAATTAAGTGATACAATTAATTATTTAATATTTGTAATGTTGAATAATATGCTTCACAATAGTATTATCTTTTGAAAAGAACAGCTATAAATTTGCGCAGAATTCACATTTCTGGATGGGCTATCTCATTAATGGGATAGTTCACCAAAAATGTAAATTTAGTCAACATTTACTCATCATAAATTCTTTCCAAACCATTATGACCTTTCTGATAACGTTACTCTACAGAACACAGAACAAATTTCGAAGAATGTTGATAACCAAACCTTTTAACGTTACGTTTGACTTCCATTGTATGAACAAAAAAAACACACACATTTCTCAAAATATCTTCTTTTTATGTCCCACAGAATAAAGAAAGTCACATGAGGATGAGCAAATAATGGCGCATTTTTTAATTGTGGGGTGAGCAGCTATCCCTTTAAGTGTGATTGTATTCAGGCAGTAAGTCAGACACATTCGCTGGGGTCCTTATGAGGTCCTTCGAATGTGTGGCGCGGGTAATGTCCACACTTTTGCCATGTTGATATGGGTTTTACTCAAGTGATGCTGAACTGAAATAAGAATGATAAAATGTTTTCTCTGAAACAGAATTCTTGGTTTATAAGAAAGGTAAGGACTGGTTAAATATAAATCGTGTTTAAATAACTGAACGGCAACTAACTAATTAGGAAGTCAGTGTTTAGTCGGCAGTGTATGTAACGTTAAAAGACTTCTGGACATCATCATCATGTAAGTTACTGTTATAGTGACATGTTTTGTGTCTTCTGGTGTCTGTTTATGAAGTGATAGTGTATTTAAGTATATATTAATTGTTTGTGCGTTATTAGAATAAACGTTATTATCGTAGAAAGATTTTGTTTGAGGCTGAAAATATGTATGAAATGTGGCTGTGCTAGACCAGATTCTCATCTCATTTATTTTCAGGTTGTGATATGGAGGGCTGTGGCGAGTATTGCATGGTCAGTGCTTCTCTTGCCAGTGACAACTGCAGTCTTTGTGCTCTTGAGCAGATTCAGCCTTTTTCACCCCATCCAATGGATTTCAGGTGAGGAAACGAGTACGAGTGTCTAACAAAATGCATAATTACAATGCGTTACTGATACTGAGAAGTGCTCGAGTGTGAATTAATTATTTATATAAGCAGTAGTTCTGACTTCAAGGGACATAATACATATTCTAAACCCTCTAAAGCCTGATTAATGAAATGATAGTGAGAAATATTTTTTTGTAACAGGATATTGATTCCTTTATCAGGTTATTGATGTGTTTTATGTTTCGTATCATATTGGATTCATCTGGATTTTATGATCCATATAGTACAATGACATTCTTAGCTTGTAATGTAAGTCAAAGGTATTTGTAACAGTATAACAAGCTGCATATATAAACTACACTCTGTAACCCAAAAATATGTCATCATGATATTTAAATGCTTAGTTTTATTATATATATATATATATATATTAGGGAAAATAAATATGAATATGCATTAATTCATCTCACTCACACAAAAAAAAACACAGATTCAGTATTCCTCAAAATGAATAAAAATAATGCAACTCAGAATATGACGCAAACCTGCAATAATTAAATGTTAAACAACACAAATATCCTTTATGTATTTAATCCGATTCTATTAACCAATGTCTTTGCTTCTGACCTTCGATGATCCAGTTCAACCATACTAAGCAAAAATTACTCTGGACAAACATTTGTGTGTCTTTTTTTATTGCTGAATTGTGTTGAAATTTCTTCTTCTGCATTCTACTGTACGGACGTAAATTTACTTTCCCTTCAGCCTGAGGCTTATTTATTTCACTTTTGGTGTGAAAAGGCTTTTATATTTGCCAAAAATAAAATATAAAAATATATTTGCCAAACAAGCAAGCCCTGTCCAGATTAAAAAGTAATGCAAAAGTAACGTAATGCATTACTTTCCATAAAAAGTAACTAAGTAATGTAATTAGTTACTTTTTTATGGAGTAACGCAATATTGTAATGCATTACTTTTAAAAGTAACTTTCCCCAACACTGCATATAATACTGTATGCTTTATATGGTTGATAGATATCTGAATTGTTCGTTAGTCAGCATCTCAAACATTGGTTACAGATTGCACAAGTCTTCTTGCGGCCTCAAGCACCATCTTTTCCCTTGTGGTGCTGTGTGGGGTGGTTCTGATAACTGGCTTTTTTAACCTGGAGTTCTACACTTGTGAGTAGATTTGTCTTTTATGGATGTGCAAAATCATCACATTTGCTATTATTGCGTTGTAATAAAATTTATGCAGATTACTTATTTCACTCTTTGTGTTTGCTTAAGTGGTTCCCTCTATTCCATGTTCACGCATGGCTCTCCTGGGGACGGTGCTCCACCCTCGACAGTGTGTTCATTCTTTGGTCTACTGCACCATGGGCATGCTGGTAATGTGGTGCGCTTCTGTTACCATCGGTGGACGTTACAGCACTCTAGGAACTACCTGCAGGCAAAGCGAGAGGTGGGTTATGACCTGAATCTGTTTGACCCACATACAATGACCCGTCGTTGTGCTCAGAGGATCGGGTTTCATTAATTGCATTCTAGGCACTGCGGCTCTTTTGACCCCAGACAAAGAGATTGACACTCATACAGTTTTCTTAAGTTGTTTTAAGTAACTCTGTGAGTAATCTTATCTCAAAATTACCAGGAGGTCAGTCTTACCCTAATATAGGCCAAGAGCACCTCTAAAATAAAGATTAAATGTTGTCTCTGTCTGTGTTTGTTTTTTAATGACATACTTTTTTGTTTTATGAAAATTCTAACAATATGTGAATAATAACGGTTATTTTTTGTTTGCTTCTGTAGTGGTGAAGTAGTGAGGGTTTCATTAATTGCATTCTAGGCACTGCGGCTCTTTTGACCCCAGACAAAGAGATTGACACTCATACAGTTTTCTTAAGTTGTTTTAAGTAACTCTGTGAGTAATCTTATCTCAAAATTACCAGGAGGTCAGTCTTACCCTAATATAGGCCAAGAGCACCTCTAAAATAAAGATTAAATGTTGTCTCTGTCTGTGTTTGTTTTTTAATGACATACTTTTTTGTTTTATGAAAATTCTAACAGTATGTGAATAATAACGGTCCCTTATTTTTTGTTTGCTTCTGTAGTGGTGAAGTAGTGACCTGTCTGAATGAGTATCATCTCTTTATTCTCCTGGCTGGGGCCTTCATGGGATACAGTCATAGTTTCTTGGGAGTGGTTCAAAATATGTACTATGTGTCCTTTCAGCCCATACAAGTAAGTGTTTGGCTATTGTATTCAGATTAGTTGCTAAATGTTACACGTATTGGTTAATATTATTATTATTTTTTTTTATGGGCGATTCCAATATCTTTGAGAGCAGGCAGATGGCCGATATGATATATATACAGTGGCATTCAAAAGTTTGGGAACCCCTTGCAGAATCTGTGAGAATGTGAATAATTTTAACAAAGTAAGAGAGATCATACAAAATGCATGTTATTTTTTATTTAGTACTAAATTAAGTAAGATATTTCACATAAAAGATGTTTACATTTAGACAACAAGACAAAAAAAAATAGCTGAAATTATTAAAATAACCCCATTCAAAAGTCTGGGAACCCTTGGTTCTTAATACTGTGTGTGGTTACCTGGATGATACACAACTGTTTTCTTTTTTTTTTTTTTTGTGATGGTTGTTCATGGGTCCCTTGTTTGTTCTGAACAGTTAAACTGAGCACTGTTCTTCAGAAAAATCCTCCAGGTCCTGCAGATTCTTCAGTTTTCCACCATCTTTTGCATATTTGAACCCTTTCCAGCAGTGAATGTATGATTTTGAGATCCATCTTTTCACACTGAGGACAATTGAGGGACTCAAAACACAACTATTAAAAAAGGTTCAAACATTCACTGATTCTCCAGAAGGAAACACGTTGCATTAAGAGCTGGGGGGTGAAAACCTTTGAACAGGATGAAGATGTCCAAATTTTGTTGAAATGTCATTTTTTTCCACGTAGTACTGCCCTTTGGAAGCAAGTAAAATTATTCACATTTTCACAGATTCTGCAAGGGGTTCCCAAACTATCGCATGCCACTGTATGATATCACGCTGTTTAATTTAAAGGGATAGTTCACCCCATGATTTACTCACCCTCAAGGCATCTTAGGTGTATATGACTTGCTTCTTTCAGACAAATACAATCAGAGTGATATTAAAAAATGTCCTGGCTTTTCCAAACTTTATACTGGCAGTCAATGAGGGTCGAGATTTTGATGCCCAAAAACATGCGTCCATCCATCCATCATAAAGTGCTCCACACGGCTCTGGCGGGTTAATAAAGGCCTTTTGAAGTGAAGCGATGTTCTTGTTTAAGAAAAATATCCATATTACTTTATAACTTTATAAACTGTAATCTCTAGCTTCTGCCAACTGTCAAATGCGTGTTCATTCCAGCAGATGGATTCCGTAGGACGTAGGAGGATTTTGATATAATCCAAGAGGATACTGGTTTTCCTTTGCTGTAAACAAAACTTGGTTCTCACGAGACTAGCATATTCTCACATTATTAACCCCCTGGAGCTGTGTGGAGCACTTTTTATGACGGATGGGTGCACTTTTTTGGGCTTCAAAATCTCGACCACCATTTCACTGCCATTATAAAGCTTGGAAGAGCCAGGACATTTTTTTTTTAATATAAATCTGACTATTCGTCAGAAAGAAAAAAATCATATACACCTAGGATGGCTTAAGGATGGCTTAAGGGTGAGTAAATCTTGGGGTAATTTTCATTTTTGGGTGAACTGTCCCTTTAGGGATTGTATATAACACATGCAAACAAATTGCTGCATGTAATTTATATTTATTTTGCATGATTTAGTCAAATAATTAGAAAT